GTCTCATTATATCAAATCTCTCTTCATAGCTTCATTTAACTGAAACTTGACCGAAGCTCAGCACACAAAGGCTTCACCCAACTCCGTCACATCACCAGGGACCCTGTGACCCAATACACTTAACTTTCAATCCCTTGAGTGATGTGTACAGGCCCAAGGTCCCGGACGTTGTGCCTCCTGTTCTCTGTGCTTAAGAGGCTCTTTCCATGCCCTCCACCTCCTCTCCCTCTTCCTTCAAGGCTTAGTTCTACCATGGGCTTTTCCAGCAAAACTTTCTCACACCAACCAGTCTGATGTTCATGTCCCTGTTTTATGCTCCTGGAGCGCACTGTGTTCTCCACATCTCTTATAGCTATAAATATTACTTCATCTATCACCTACCATATTAAATCATGAGTCCCGTATGAGTAGAGAGGATATTGTCTGTGTCTTTGAATTCTGATGCAAAATTTGGTGCTCAGTAAATGGTTGCTGAGTGAGTGAGTGAGTGAGTGAGAGAGATCACTTCCCTAGAAACCCTCCCAGAGAGGCAAAACTGCTACCTTCAAAATAATGACAAGGGTCACTGGTGTGAAGCACTGCAGTGTGGAGGGGCAAGGATCCTCAGGCATTGATCTCTCAATGGATCTTCATTATACCAGTCAGCTGTTCTGAGACTTTCACCTGAGGGCTTGTTCTGGCAAAGACCAGAGGTGCCTTACCCCACCCCATTTTTCTGATCATTTATTTCTTCCCAGGCTGCCTGATGGACCGTAAAGGTGGCCGCTTAAGATTCTAACTCAGACTTGACAGTCACCTTAAATTACCTAACCCCCCAACCAGGACTTAGGAAAACATTAGCATTTTTTTTTCTTTCCTCAAATCAACAGCTGTCAGGTGACTTGTCAGTAGCAACTAGGCCTTGGAGAAAAAGTTCACAGTCCCATGTTCTGGCATTAGAGAACCGCTGGCAGAGTGGACTTTGATACTGGCTTCCACAGGCACAGATGTTCTTTTTAAAGAGTTCATACACCAGCATGTTGGAGGGGCAGAAAAGTGTAATAGATACCTCTCTCCACTTGTCATAAGGCTCATGGTCAACATTCGACACAAAAGACAGGTTAATGACAGAAAGGCATCTTAAATTTATTTAACCAAAGTTTTACGTGACACAAGAGCCTTCAGAAGTGAAGACCAAACGATCCAGAGAAAACTTTCTTTTTGTGCTTAGATTCCACAAAGATGGGACAGCTGTTTAGAAACGTGATTGGGAAAAAGGGTCTGAACTCGTGGAAACGGACTGAAGGCAGAAGCCAAGCGTGGCTCTTCTGTTCACGGCTTGTCTCTGTATAGCATTCCTTCCTTCTGACTGGGGGACAGGAGCCTCTGGAATGAGGGTCTTCAAGAGAGAAGGGAGACAGTGACTGTCATGGCTTGTGTTTAGATGTTTCCCCTAAGCCTCATGCCGTCGTAGGTGGGGCTTTTCAAAGATGGCTGGATCTACAATGTGTGATGCTGAGATGAAAAGTGTGCAGTTACTAAATCAGTGCACTGCTTCACACAACCCTAATCCTGGTAGCCCAGATATAATATAAAAGGACAGAAAGATGCTGTTAAGATCCCTTGTTGCTTTGCTACCTCCTGTGTGCCATGAACTGTAACTCTTCTGTGACGACCCTCTGCCATGCTCCCCCGCTCCGCCTTGGAGCCACCAATTATGGGCAGAAATCTCTGCAAACTGTGAGCTAAATAAACTTTTCCTCCTTTAACTTTGAGGTTCAGGTATTTTAGCAACGTAAAGAGTAACTAAGACAGTGACTTTTCTAGGCTTTATGGCTGCAGAGGATTTATAGGGAGAGAAAGGTTCCAGTTTCTATGACTTGCCTAGGAGAAGAGGAATGTAGTTTCTATGACTGGCATTGAGGGAAATGCGGCGAGGAACAGGATGGCAGAAGAAAGAGTTTAACTCTGAGGCCTTCCTTTCCCTTCGGTTCCAAGTCCTCAGCATGCCATCTCACTATGCTTTGCTCTGTTGTTTCCTGAACCCCACAGTATCCAGCACTCGTTTTATTGTATTTATTTATTTTTTCTCATTGAGTTTATTGGTATATTTGAGGGATACAGTACAGTTACATTCATGATTGGTATCTTGTACCTTTACATGACAGGTCCTTGTTCTCATTTTTCCCCTTGTCCCTGCCCTCTCTTCACCCCTCCTCCCATCCCCCTTTACAAACACTTCATTTCCAATTTTTCCTTTTCCCTTATTACCTTTCCCCTACCCTTCCCACTTTCCCTACACCTTTAGCCCCTTTCTTCCTATTTCACACTGTCCATTATATCGTAGGATCTTATTCCAGTACCCGTTTTAGTTCCTGCTGCATTTCCTGGTTGGAAATTAAAAAAGCACTAAGCTAGGAGGGTGAGGATGCACTTCTAGGGAGAGTTCTACCGTAAACACTCTGGGCTTCAGTGTTCTCACTTGTGAGATGACTGGGTCCAATGTATGCTCTCTAAGGTTGCTTCTGTTTCTCGGTACTTCGTGGCCTTGCTATTGAAAGTGTGGTCCATAGAACATCAGCATCAAGTACTTGGGTACTAACCAGAGGTGCAGAATCTCAGGCCCCACCCAGACTTGATGAGTCAGAATCTACATTTTACCAAGACTGCCAGAGGATTCCTGTGTACCTAAGGCTCTAGGAACTGCTTCTTTAATAGCTGGACCGAATCTCACTTCCTTTTGGAAAATTACTTTTAAATCTGGAGAAGAGCTGCTTCCACTTCTGAGATTAGTATCACCCGGAGAAGGAGGTAGGGTGGCTTTTGAACAGGTTTTGTTTGACCTCTACCTCTAACTAAACTAAGCCAGAGTCTATTTTCTTTCTTCTTTTATTCCTTCATTCACTTCTTTTCTTTCTTTCTTCCTCCATCTCTTTTCCACTAGGAAAATGGAGAGGGGGGAAAAAAAAAGAAAGATCTTGTGATTGTCCAACGAAAGAGTTCTTCTGCACCTGTTTCCTCAAGGACTAAGGTGCCTTCTGGGATGATCACTCTGAGGTGGCCTGACACCTGCCTGAGAAGGTCACCCTGAGAGCCCCCTGAACAAAGGATGCCATCCCCTGAGGACTCAGAGGGTGGGCTTGACCCTGGGAAGATAAAAAGCACTCAAGAAGAGATGTGACAGGGTAGAGCTCTGCGGGGAGCCGGGCCCCACTAGTTAGCTTCTAAAAACAAACATTGTGGATGGCTTTTCCTCTACTTTTGCCAAAATTCTCCTTCTGGGAATAGGGCCACAGAATTCTGATGCTCCCTTTCTTAGGCAGGCACGGGGGAGAATCAGAGCAAATCTACCCCCTGCTTCCGGCCGCTGGTGCCTCTGGATCTAGGAGAAGATGAATGGCCACTTGTCTAATAAGTGAGAAGGATGTTTTTTTAAAAAAGTCAAAAAGTAACATGCAAATGTTCCCAGTCCTATCTGCCAAAGAGGGTTCTGGCTTTTCTGGCTTAGTGTTTGTCCTCCATACCTTTACAGGGAGACTTCTGCATCACCAGGTAAGATTTTAGCATGTGGACATGGCCGGAAACTGGGAAAGGAAAAAGGGGCTCAAAGTTTAGTGATCATAAAAGGAGACTGCTTATTTTAGGTGAATTGTTAGGGGAAAACATTGGAATACTCCAAAGATGTGAGGGTTGTTTATGGGAGAAAAAAAACCTGAAGAAGTAGCTTTGTAAACCAGTGATTCTCAAAGTGTGGCTCTAAAAGAAATCAGATCAGCATTGTTTGGGATCATGGCAATCCGCACGTTTCATGCAGACCTACTGAACCAGATACCCTGGGTGTGGGACCCGTATTTGCTTTTCACGTGCTCATCCAGGTGATTCTGATGCCTGCCAGGGTTCAAGAACTGTTGTCATAAATTATTATTTCCACAATGAATGAGAATTGGGGATAAAAACATTTTTTAGTTCATTTGCAACTTCGATACTCTTCCTGTGACCATACATTTTGGTGCTAGTGCCAGGGGTTGTGTCTTGCCAGCAGGGTAGGACTGCACTTTTCTTATTGGTGTTTATCACATGGAGGAGTGGTCTGAAGTCAAATTCTAAATACTAAGATGCCACATTGCTCTTCTGCAGAACCACCCTGCAAGACCCAGTCAGCCTGTCTCTGAGCAGGCTAGCACTGCGACTTAGAAAATAAAGCGCAGTGTGCATGTAAAGTCCAAGGACTGATATAGTCCATCCTTGTGATTTATGCTCACAACCTGACATCCTCAAAGCCCCATTTTCATTTAGTCATGGTTGGCACCTTTCATTTATGCCCCAGATTGCAGGCAACCCTACCTCACACTTTAACAGAACCAGGCAATGGGTAGAGGGTTGGAGATAAAACATTTCTTCTTGTGATCCAAGTTTTCCTAGATTTCTCCAGTATATAGAAACAGGAGTTTCAGCATTAAGCTGTTTTGCCTCCTCCTCATTTAAAGAGTACCTCAGCTTCCAGTCATCCCTACAGTGTCTCACAAACTGGGGTAACAATTCCACATGTCACCTGTCCCACGTAGAGATGTCTTTTCCTAAGCACTACTCTACTCTGTCAGTTCTGACTCAAAGGGAGCACAGATATGTAAATAGGTTGTCTACTACAGGATGATTTCTGTCTTCCCACTTTTAAAAGACATAAATGCATGAAAGCAAGACATGCGCATGATTTAAGAATGAATATAATGGAAGCGTATGAAACAAAAAGTAAAAATGCCTTCTAAACTTGCCATTGCTTATTTTTTAGAATATTTCCAAAAGCGTTTTAGGTATATACCAGCATGTATGCTCTGTTTTATTCACACAAACGGGACCATTCTATGCAAGCTATTTATTCTGCATTTTGCTTTTCTGCCTTAATAATTTGGAAATAGTCTAGCATGTTCTTTTCATCCCGTTATAGTATTCCATCATAAAGATGTTCCATAATTATAATAGTTAATCACAAGTTATAGCTCTTTTCAATTTTTCCTTTTCAGAAATCATGATGCAGTTTAAAAATCCCTTCATCTATAATCTGACGTACTTCTGTGAACATATACACCAGTTTGGTTTGTGACCAGAATCATGGAAAGAGTTAAGTTCGTGAACCAAGGTACCACTGTATATGAGTTGAATTGTTTCCTGTGAGTCAAAGAGTGTATGCATTTACAATTGTGAGTATCTCTAACCTGAGAATTTATAATTTTTCAAAATCTGAAGCTTCTGAATACCAGTATCATGTACACAAGGTTCAGATTTAGGACCATTTCAGATTTTGGATTTTCACATTAAAAGGTACTAAACAGTAAAGTCTATACCGAAAATTCCATATCTGAAAAATTCTAAAATTAGAAAAACTCCTAGTTCCACCAGTTCAGATAAGGATTACTCAATCTATTACCAAAATGCTCAGTTACATCTAGTTATCTTCATGTGACTGGGAATAAGAGTCCTTGCTTTCTTATCCACTGAGGAATACTTAATGTAACAAACCATTTTAAATTTTGCCAGTCTTATAGAAAAAAAAAGACATCTTGTTGTTCAGATTTGCATGTCAGATTTCAGGAAACTTGAATATCTTTTTATAAATTTTTTGGAAATTTGCATTTTTTCTGAGAATTACTTTTTATATCCTTTGCCCATTTTTTGGTTGGGCTTTTTCATGTTTGTTCTTATTGATTTGTGTGAGCTCTTTGTGAAATAAGGAAATTAGCTCTTTGTCTATTGTATGTGCTGCACATATTGTGGCCCACTTCATCATCTGTCTCTTGATTTTATGGAATTTGCTTCCATGAAGGCATTTAATTTTTCTGTTGCTGCATTTCTTGGTATTTGGCTTTATATAGACTAGTGTGATGGGGGAAGAATAGGCAACGAAGCTCTTATCCACTTCAGACAATATTTGCTTATTCAGTTTGTCCTTTCTAGAGTGAACAACTTCAAGTTGACACAAGGCTGCCTCAAGGGTGGGTGGAAAGTTGTGTTTGTGTCCCTTTTCTGAGTAGAACAACCAGTGCTGGTCAGCCACTGCTGTGGGCCAGAACACCATCTTCATTTCTCAAGTTTTATGCAAAGGACAGCTTGTTGATCCAATATCCTTTACCTTCATGTTGAATTATCTTTCTGGGGCCTCATCGCTCTTTCTAAAAGCCAAACATGGTCATGATGGTATATCAAATAAATGTCCTACCTCAGAGCCTCCAAGGGATTAAGTTGGAATTTCTGACTCTTCCCTCACGGATGCCACTGTCCTCCTGAATACAGGTACAAAAAGCTCATTCATCCATCTCTCTCTCTCTCTCTCTCTCTCTCTCTCTGGCTGAAACCAAGGCTCCCTTTTACCAATGCAGGAGGAAGGTAATGAGTCTCTGATTCAACCAAAATGTCATGGTACAAAATTGGGTTCGTTAATCTAATGATCACCCCAAACCTTGAAGACATGTCAATTTCATGGAATTTCTAATGGCTGGCATTTCAAGAATGAATAAAAATTGAGGTGACAAACACTCAGGCTGTGTGGAGAAGGGTATGTGTGGGCAGGACAGAAGAGATCTGGGTGGTAGATGGGTACAACCACTTTGTCCAAAGGTTTGTCCTAGAGCCAGGACAAACCTGAACTGCCCTTCACTTCTCAGCTGAATTCCTTAAAATAGCATTTTGGCTTGATATGTTTTAGCCACACTGCTATGGTATGAATAGGTGTAGAGTGTTCATCCAGTGGCTTGTGTATCGGAAATGTGGTCATCTGTGTGGTGGTGTTGAAGTGGTGGGATTATTTTGAAATAGGGCTGAATGCAAGGTAATTAGGTCAGAAGGGTCCACCTTCCAAAGGTAGCCCTTCAAATGTAGCTCTCAGTGGACCCCAATCAGTTCTTGCCAGAGTGGATTTTGTAAAAAGAGCAAGTCCAGCCACTGAAGTCTGGCTGGCCCATTTTACCATGACTTCTCTCACTCTCACATATGATCCCACGGTGATGCCGTCTGCCGTGTTGTGATGGAGCCAGAGATTCCTCATCAGAGCCAAGCAGATTCAGTACCATATTGTATCTCCAGAACGTAGATAAGCCTCTTTTCTTCATAAAGTACCCAGCCTCTGGTATTGCATTACAGCAACACAAAACCAGTTAATATATTTAAACTATAAAAGTCCCCTTAGACCACTTCTGCTCATGATGAGTGCCAGTCTTGAATTTACAATCACCACTGCAAAACAAATCATATTGCTCAAACATTGAAAATTGAAGCAGATATCATTTGAGAGGGGAGTTGAGAGAGTGTAGAGGGGATTATTTCACTCATTATACAGGAAAACATTTGGAGTCTACCTAGATATTGCTACTTCCTCTGTCTAGTCTTCCCATAATCTACCTAATCCTGGGTCCCCCATCTCCAAGGGTCTTGTCTCTACCCCTCCCAAATTCTACCTCCTTTCAGATAACAGACGACACCCAGCATGACATAAAACCTAAGGCAGTCAAACAAGCACATCTTATTGTTCCTGAAGCATGCCTCAAAGGCTTTCAGGGAATTCCAGCACACTCCCAATTTCATTTTCATGTTGTTACTCATGTTGCTTGTTTCTATTTCTTTCCCTTGGAGCGCAAGGAAATTGGCAAGGGCTGCACTATTTTCTTTTCTCTTTGCCTCTCTGAGGAATGCAGCCATGGCAGCCTTCCTCCAAAGTCCTCAAAGCCAAAGTCAACAGTGGAGTGGAAGACAAGAGCCAGTCACCCTTTGCCTGTGGCCTCATCTGCAAAAGGTGCACAGCAACACCCAAGGCAAGCCCAAGGGACATACTTACAAATATGTCCATCACCACTGCACTTGTTAGAGAGAGCCTGTGAGACCTCCAAGGTAGGCAGAGTGCAGCAATCAAGCCAGAGGGTGGCTCCAGAAATGGTGGTTGGAATCTACCTCCCAAAGAGGCAGCAGTGTGTAACAATTCTAAGAGGAACTCCCAGCTACAATATTGAGCGCTTACTATGTGACAGGTATCACGCCAAATGCTTTAAATGCAATCTCAGCAAATACTCAAAACAAGCCAAGGAACCTTAGGGAATATTATCACTCCGGTTTCACAGGTGACAAAACAGGCTCAGAGGGCATTAAACAGCTTACCCGAGACTACAGAGCTAATAAGGATGAGCCTTCTCATTATCTCCTAGTCAGTTTCAAAGTAGTGCTAGAGAATTACAGTCCAAGAACCTCACCCCTTACCTAAAGGCAAGGTCTTTCTTTTACTGCACACATCGGCCCTGAGATGCAGGTGTGCTTGTCATCCTCATGGAACCAAATGAAATGAGTTTGAAGGGTGGGCTGGGAGCACTGTGCTTACAAGGGTGGGATGGAATCAAGAGCAGAAATGGGTGGGGAAGTTGGAGAGGCCCTTGAATTATCCAGGTAGCCAGGCTGTCTCTCAGTCTCCGGTGTCCAGAGTTCCATTTAATGTGCAACTAATGGGGGTAGGAACCCCCCTCTTCCCCAGCCATACAGAACGCAGATGCAGGAAGCCCTGTGGCTGCTCAGGATGAAGACTCAGCACCCACTTGCAGCACTTCATCTAAATCAGGACAAGGTCTTGGCTTTGTCTTGTGACTTAAGTCTAAGGGAAAGTTTGTGCTCCTTAGGCTATCTCATGCCTCAAGAAGTAGGATTCTCATGGAGTTTCCCTCTGGACCTACTTCATAAACACAGCAAGGCATTTTGCTCTGCTCTGTCACGGAGATATTAAGGGTTGATCTCAATTTCAGAAGGAGTAGACAGTGGCCTCTCTTTAACTTCTTTAAGGCCAGTTGAAAGGCATGCTTTGTCCCCCAGAGAAATTCTCCCCTTCTCAAGCCGAGCAAGGAAGCTTGACTTCCTCCCATGATCAATTAATGCTTAGGTTCTGACATATTTTTCAAAGCTCCACGATGGAGACAATCCACTAAGTCTCCATTCCACAATATCAACGTCCACCCAACTGCTGGCTTTACTGATTCGGTCTGTCATCTGGGGGAACCCAGGACTCTTTTCTTAGCTACACAGTGGGACTCGCAGTGGTTGTAAGGACTAGCTGGCTCACCCCATGTGGAAGGCACAATGTCTGGCACCAAGTTGACACTAAATCAGGAGGTGTCATGGTGACAGTAAGAGGAGCAGCAGTAGGAGGATTTGTTGTTGTCTGTACCAGAGGGAAGGGGAAAAAATAAGACCCCTCAGTACTTGGAGGGGAAAGCAGTGCTGAAAGAAAAAGAGAGAAGACAAATGACTCCTGCCACTAGCTCAGCTTGAGTTAGGCTCTAGCACCTTACCTCACACACTGAATTACTCTCCTTTGATCCTTGTAAGAACCCCATGAAATAGGTGCTGCTAAAAGCCCCGACTTATGGTTGAGGAATTTTAGGCTCAAAAAGTTAGAGATTTTGTCCTGAAGTCAGACGGCCACAGAGGAGGCCACAGAGCCAGGACCCAAGCCATTTTAGTGTGAACCCAAAGCCCAAGTGGCACACTCAGCGTCCCCTTCCCACCCTTAACCCCTGCCACCATAAGATCACCAAGCAGCTTCCCCCTTGCAGGAGGCTGGGGGAGGAGAGGCACGGAGCTTAGAGAATTCGCCAGCTTTTCCCGCTTCAGAACCCCAGGATTGTGACCCCGCAGCAAGCAGACATGCCCTAGCCCAGCTATCTGCCTCATTTCATCAGGCTGCCGCCGGCCCAGCCCAGCACAGGAAATTAAAAGCCACTCACAGATCACAGAGCACGGCACCAAGTGATCTCAAACAGAATCCTCCGCCCTCCTCTTTCTCCTGGTGCAAGAACAGGCCCATAGCAGTCAGGGATTGAACATTCAAGGAGAGCTGCTGGGCTTTCCTGGGCACAGTGACCCCATAACAAAAACGGAAGCCCTGTCCTCAGGGTCTTAAAGATGGAAAAGCAGCCCTTATAACAAGATGGCAGCATGCACTCACACAAGCATGTGTGCATGCGTGTGTGTCTGTCTGGGGTGTGTGTGTCTGTGTGTGTTTTGGAAGGAGATATAGGACAGAGTGATGGCCTCTAAGAGGAAAACGAATCAGAAGCCAGAGGAAGACTAACTTTATTTTTTATACCTTT